GCGCGCCCGGGATCCGAACCCGGGCCGCCAGCAGCAGAGCGCACACACTTAACCGCTAAGCCACGGGGCGGGCCCTAAATCTTATCTTTAGAAATGAAGAAACACACTAGGAGACTTCCTGCTAAAGGGTATCTACAAAAAACTGCAGCAAACATATTACTTAATAGTAAAATGTTGAAAGCCTTTCCTCTGATATTGGAAATGAGATAAGAAATGCCCACTATCATCATTTCTATTGTACTTGAGGTCCTAACCAATATAAATATGCAGTAATTATTGGTATAAGTATTGGAAATGAAGAAATATAACTGTCATTATTCAGAAATGACAAAATTATACACATAGAAAATCATAAAAATTATACAGATAAATTACTAAAATTAATATTTCAGTCTAGAATGATTGCTAGATACAAGTCAAGATATAAAAGTCTCTGTATTTCTATATACCAGTAACAGACAATGAAATTTTAAAATACTATTTATAATAGTATCATAAATCATCAAAGACTTAGGAATAAATCCAATGAAGGATGTGTAACATTTCTACAAAAAAAATCTGTAATTGGTAGAAATTAAAGTCCTAAATAAATAGAAGGACATACCATGTTCACAGGAGGAAATCTCAATATCAGAAATATGTCAATTCTCCCCAATCTGACCTACAGATTCAGTGCAGTCCAAACAAAATCCCACAGGGCTATACATTACAAGGATGAATTTTACTATATGTAAATTATACTTAAAAAAAGAAATGAAGGAAAAAATTCCAGCAGAGTTCTTGTTTTATTTTGTTTTTAATAGAAATCCACAAGTAGATTCTAAAATTTACATAAAAAGAAATGTAAAAAGGCCAAGAATGTCCTAGACGATCTTTAAAAAGAAAAACGGAACATAGTAGGAAGACTTGTACTACCTGATAACAAGACTTATCATAAAGCTATAACAGTGTTACTGGTACAAGGATAAACAAACAGACCAATGGAACACGAGAGTCCAAAAGCAGATCTTCTCACGTATGGACACTGCTGAGAACATTCTTATACATTTCCCCTAATGAACACGCGGAAAAGATTTTTTCGCAGCAAAGAAAAAGAATGGTCTTTTCAATTAACAGTGTAGGGACAACTGAACATATATATGGAAAAAATTGAAATTTGACTCCTACTTATACTGTACACCCTCAAAAATTTTTCAGGTGGATTGAAGAATCATATGTGACAAAATAAAACTTACAGACCAATGTATCTTTTACTTTACATTACTAATGCCACTAGCCTGGTTCAGACTCTCAACTCTCCACACACCGACTATGGTCTCCCAAGAAAAATTACAGCAAGAATTATAAAAACAGTAGTTGCTCTAGGACAGTGATGTTCAAACTTCTTGACCAAAACCCACAGGAATATATTTAAATCAACACACATACCCCCCTAGATATATAAAATACAAAAGTTTCACAAAATACTTTTTAGCCTTACCACATAAGCTGCATTTTGATTTTTTCCCCCTCTATTACATGATTTAAATTCTGGCTACAGCCCTTCAAAACGATTTCACAAACCATTAATGGGTCACAACCCATAATTTGAAAAACAATGCTTTGGGACACCAGAGAAGAAATATGACTTCAGTCTAGGATGGCATGGTAAATTCTTGAGAGAGAATTTTAAGCGAGGATTTTTTAGTAAGACTTTACAAGTAGGGTAGAAGTATTTAGATGTAAAGTGACTTGCCCAAGGTCACGTGTTAATAATAAATGGCAAAACCAAGACTAAAACTGAGATTTTTCCCATTCTAAGGCTAATGCTCTTTCCATTACACGGAACAGTTTTTCTTTAACACACACACACAAGAAAAGCACAATAATTCTGTCCTAAGTTAGTTCATCAGCATGGAAATTAAGAGAAGAATGATTTTATATGCATATGTGTGTGTGTGTGTGTGTGTGCATAGACACACACACACACATATTTACTTATTTTATAGGTAGCAATTGCTTAAAGAAAAGGTTGATTCATGTTATATTAAGTTTAATCAAGTAAGTTAATCTTATTATACCTTTATCAAAATTTTAACGTTTTTCTTTTCCTCCAGAAGCTAAATTATATTAATTTCGTACAAAACTTTTCATTAAAAAAGTGACAAGGAGGGGCCGGCCCGGTGGCGCAAGCGGTTGGGTGCGCGTGCTCTGCTGCAGCAGCCCGGGGTTTGCCGGTTCGATCCCGGGCACGCACCGATGCACGGCTTGTCAAGCCATGCTGTGGCGGCGTCCCATATAAAGTGGAGGAAGATGGGCACGGATGTTAGCCTAGGGCCAGGCTTCCTCAGCCAAAAAAGAGGAGGATTGGCAGATGTTAGCTCGGGGCCGATCTTCCTCACAAAAAAAAAAAAAAAGTGACAAGGAGAAATCAATTCTCCCATTTAAAAAACATTAATACTATGCCAGTCTCAAAACTAGTTACATTATTGAGTTTGTTAAATACTTTGAGGAACACAGAGTAAACTAACAAGTTCTTTCCATTACAAAGCTTATATTCTGATAAATACTTAAGACAAAAATAATTCAATTAACATTACAATATGACCAAAAGATATTTCTATCTTTTATTTTATATTATCAAGAGCTCTATCCAGCTATCACAGAAATGAGTAGAAATGACTTACGGTTGCATCGTTTTTGTACAAATCGTAATTTGCAAGCTGTTCTATAAGTTGATAGTCGTATGACATCAAAATTCTGAGCACCTGAAAAAAGGGCAAATAAAAAGTTCAAGTGGATTTACCATTTAATTTCTAAATACTGGGAAGTGGCTCTATTCCACTGTGTTGACACAGTCTATAAATAACATGTCAACCCCGCCTTCTGACAAAACACAAAGTGGGGGAAAAGGGTTAGGCACACTTTCTGCGTGCCCACTCCATGCTAAGCACAGTGCCAGTAATTCTGCCTACATTATCCTGTCTGCTAGGCTAAGAAAACTCTGAGAGGAGGAACACTCATGACATGAGTGAATGAACTACATATATTAGGAAGGGAGGCAAAATGGTATAGTGAGAAAGACCCTAGCTAGAGTCAAGAGAGCTAAATTCCAGCCCCAGGCTGATCACCAACCATAGAACACGACTCTGGCCACGTTACGTACCTCTTCTCAGCCTCAGAGGCCTCATCTGTAAAATGAGGGAACTAGACTAGCTGATCTCTAAGGTCCCCTTCCAGGTCTTTTTCCAAAAATGGCCGCAACAGTATTTCCAGACCAGTATTTTATGTGCTTCTAGTTCACTGTCCCTCCTCATCAAGAATTAAAGATACTTCCCTCTATTTGCATCCAAGCAGGACATTGCAACTGCTTCAATGAATAGAATGTGCAGAAGTGACACTGCACAATTTCTAAAGATAGGTGATAAAAGATGATACAGTTGTCCCTGCTCTCTCTCTCTCAGGATGCTTGCCCTTGGAACCCAGATGCCATGTTGCAAGGAAGCCCAAACTAGCTGATGCGGAGAAGCCACAAAGAGAGGCTCATATGCAGAGGAACTGAGTCCATCAGCCAAAAGACAGCATCAATCTCCAAACATGTAAGTGAACAAGTCTTCAAATGATTCCAGCCCTGTGCATTCAAGTCTTCCAGCTGAGACTTCAAACATCATGAAGCAAAGTCAAGACATCAGCACTGGATACTCTTCTAACTATAGACCCCAAAATGCATAAACAAAATAAATGATTGGTTGAGGGTAAGTGATATACAGCCATAGTAGCTAGAACAAATCCTAAAACTACACGAGTCTATAAATCAAACTTTGTTCTCATTTCAAAATTTGCTGTAAACCAAGTCTCCTTGAATTTTAAGGGCACTTCAGAGAGCTTTGGCCCCCAAGGTAAGCCTTTTATTTCATCTAGGCTGCCTTTATAAGACCTGGCAGCGACTTCTGACTCAACAAAGGGAAAGTGAACTGGCACAAATTACCTTCTACCAATATTTACAGGCATCTCTCATTTCTGCTCACTTCACAGTAGAGGAAAAAAGGGAAGGATTTTTTTCAGGTTTTGGTGAAAGTAATATTTATTGACCAAAAAGTAAAGCAAAAGTTTCTCTTACTCTCACTTCCATCAACCTTTACCTTGATGTCACAACTAAAATTATTTCCTCCATCCCCTGGTTCTCACAAAATTTCTATCCTTCTATATATAAACTACACAGTCCTATTTTCTTTCGTTAATATAAGAGTTTTATTGAAATATAACTCACATACCATACAATTCACTCATTTAAAGTGCACAATTCAATGGTGCACAACATGAGTCTACAAATCAAACTTTGTTCTCATTTCAAAACTTGCTGTAAACAAGTCCTTACAGAGTTGTGCAACCACCACCACAATCAAGTTTAGAACATTTTCATTATCTCGAAAAGAAACCTCTTCCCCTTAGCAGTCACTGTGCCCATTTTTTAATTGAGTTATTTGTGTTTTTATTATTAGGTTGTAAGAGTTCATTATATATTATAGATACAAGTCCCTTATAAGACACACGATTTGCAAATATTTTCTCCCATTCTGTGGGTAGTCATTTCACTTTCTTGGTTATATCCACTGAAGCACAAAAGTTATTAATTTTGAATAAATTCAATTTATCTATTTGTTCTTTTGTCACTTGTGCTTTTGATGTCATATCCAAGAAGGCTTTGCCTAATCCAAGGTCATGAGGATTTATACCTATGTTTTCTTCCAAGAGTTTTACAGTTCTAGCTCTTACATTTAGACCTATGATCCATTTAGAGTTAATTTACTATATAGTGTGAGGTATGGGTTCAAATTCATTCTTTTGCATGTGGATATCCACTTGTCCCAGCACCACTTGTTCAAAAGACTACTCTTTCCTCTTCAAATGGTCTTGGCACTGTTGTGAAAAAATCAAGTGACCATAGACATATGGGTTTAATTCTAGACTTTCAATTCTGTCCCATTGATAATATGTCTGTCCTTATGCCAATACCATACAATCTGGATTATTGTAGCTTTGTAGTAAATTCCCAATTCTCAAATTGGGAAGTGTGAGTCTTCCAACTTTGTTCTTCTCTTTCAAGACTGTTTTAGCTATTCTGGGGGCCCTTGAATTTCTTTATGAATTTTTAGGATCAGCCCACCCATTTCTGCAAAGAAGCCAGTTTTAATGAGAATTGCATTGAGTCTGTGGATCAATTTAGGAATATTGCTATCTTAATGTTAAATCTTTTGATCTTTTAACACAGGATGTCTCTCCATTTATTTGTCTTCCTTAATTTCTTTCAACAATGTTTTGTAGTTTTCGGAGTATCAGTTTTACAATTCTTTGTTAAATTTATTCAGTCCTATTTTCTTTTACTCATTTAGTTTCTTAATATGTTATAGCAATGTAAATATTTTAATTATAACCATTAAATATTAATTATTCAAAAATAAAATCAATGGTTTTAAGAAAGAATTCTGACAACTGTTGTGGCACGTGGATTGGAAGAATAAACATAGTTAAAATGTCTACATTACCTAAAGCAATCTACAGATTCAATGCAATCCCAATCAGAATCCCAATGACATTCTTCACAGAAATAGAAAAAAGAATACTAAAATTAAAAAAAAAAAAGAATACTAAAATTTATATGGGGCAACAAAAGACCCCGAATAGCTAAAGAAATCCTAAAGAAAAAGAACGAAGCAGGAGGCATCACAATTCCTGACTTCAAAACATACTACAAAGCAAGAGTAATCAAAACAGCATGGTACTGGTACAAAAACAGACACACAGATCAATGGAACAGAACTGAAAGCCCAGAAATAAAACCACACATATACGGACAGCTAATTTTCGACAAAGGTGCTAAGAACATGCAATGGAGAAAGGAAAGTCTCTTCAATAAATGGTGTTGGGAAAACTGGACAGCCACATGCAAAAGAATGAAAGTGGACCATGTGCTATCGCCATTCACAAAAATTAACTCAAAATGGATCAAAGACCTGAAGGTGAGACCTGAAACTATAAAACTCATAGAAGAAAATATAGGCAACACACTATTTGACATTGGTTTTAAAGGAATCTTTTCAGATGACATGCCTACCCAGACTAGGGAAACTAAAGAAAAAATAAACAAGTGGGACTTTATCAGATTAAAGAGCTTTTATAAGACAAATGAAACCAGAATCAAGATGAATAAACAACCAACCAGCTGGGAGAGAATATTTGCAAAACATACATCTGACAAGGGGCTGATCTCCATAATATATAAAGAACTCACACAATTGAACAACAAAAAAACAAACAACCCGATCAAAAAATGGGCAGAGGAAATGAACAGACACTTCTCCAAGGAAGATATACAGATGGCCAATAGGCACATGAAAAGATGCTCAACATCACTAATCTTCAGGGAAATGCAAATCAAAACAACACTAAGATACCACCTCATGCCTGTTAGAATGGCTATAATCACCAAGACAAAAAACAACAAATGTTGGAGAGGATGTGGAGAAACAGGAACCCTCATACACAGCTGGTGGGAATGCAAATTGGTGCAGCCTCTATGGAAAACGGTATGGAGATTCCTCAAAGAATTAAAAATAGAGATGCCCTATGATCCAGCCATCCCACTACTGGGAATCTATCCAACGCACCTGAAATCAACAATCCAAAGAGGCTTATGCACCCCTATGTTCACTGCAGCATTATTCACCATAGCCAAGAAGTGGAAGCAACCTAAGTGTCCCTTGACTGACGATTGGATTAAGAAAATGTGGTATATATATACAATGGAATACTACTCAGCCATAAAAAAAGACAAAATCGTCCCATTTGCAACAACATGGATGGGCCTGGAGCGTATTATGTTAAGTGAAATAAGCCAGAAAGAGAAAGACAAACACTGTATGATCTCACTCATATGTGAAATATAAACCAACACATGGACAGAGAAAACTGGACTGTGGTTACCAGGGCAGTGGGGGTGGGGGGTGGGCACAAGGGGTGAAGGGAGTCATATATGCGGTGATGGACAAAGAAAAATGTACAACCCAAAATTTCACAAAGTTAGAAACCATTAAAACATCAATTAAAAAAAAAAAACCTGCCATTAAATCACTGCAGGTAATTTTAATATCTAAACATTTATTTTTATAAAATATTTTTATGAGAAATACTGAGAAAACTAATGTGAACAGCTGGGAACGTTCTACCCCTAACAACCAAAGAGAAAGATTACTGATCTGACTGATCAGATTGCAGGGCATTTATTAGGGCATGTTTGCTAGTGAAGAAGTAACTACAGGAAAAAGTCAGTGCACCTGGTGTCACTCGCTCTCTTCAGACTCTCTCTCCAGTGCAATTAGAGTCAGATCTGGGTACTGCAAAACGAAACAGAACAGATATCACACAAGTCCAAAGCTAACCAGTTTAGGAAAATGGGAAACTCCACATGCTTCAGCCCAGTTTGCCAGAAATCTCTACACTGAAGTGTCAGGTAGTAGTCAAGAATCAAGCATCACTCTGCTTTCCTTTGCCATCGTTCCTTGTGAAAATACATCCCCCTAAACTCAGTGGAAAGAAAGGTAGCGACAGCAGAGGGATGGCACAGGATTCAGAAATTCTAGGGAGCCCTGGCCATAATATCATTTTAAAAATCTAATAGTCCAAATCCAAAAATAATTTCTAAAAGTTAAGATATAATCAATAACCTTAAAACATTATCAAAATCTTATTGTCCCAACATTCAACCAAT